TTATTTTTTACCTACGTGACTTTACCGAAAAAAACCTAAGAGTATGTCTGCGTAGAGCAAACAAAGTTCCGACCGACGTGCCGTCCCTCGTTTTGCCTCCGAATTAAATGCCAGGCATGCCCCCCCCCCCCTCTTTAGTGGTCTATTGTGGGTCATACACAGCGTATGACACGATATATATAGAGAGAGACTATTTAGAGAGAGTAGTAGTATGAATCAAGCTATTCAAGTGGCCTTACTGATCTGTGTACTTTGAGTGTCTCGCACGGGGTGAGATATGTGCATTTCATCAGAGCTGCATTATGTATATATTTAGGAATAATAGGAAAGTCTTTCTGGTTTAAGTCTCTAATGATGACATTACATCGGAATCCGGCATACATGGTGGAGGTGGTGGCTCTGATGGTGGTGGAGGTGGTGATGGTGGTGATGGTGGAGGTGGTGGAGGTGGCGATGGTGGAGGAGGTGGTGGTGGTGGTGATGGTGGAGGTGGTGATGGTGGCGGTGATGATGATGGTGGAGGTGGTGGTGACGGTGGCGGTGATGGCGGTGACGGTAGAGGTGGTGATGGTGGCGGTGATGATGATGATGGTGGAGGTGGTGACGGTGGAGGTGGTGGTCGTGACGGTGGCGGTGGCTGCGATGCTGCTGCTGCTGAGGGCAGCGTCAGCGAGATGCGCGCGAGCCGTGGGGGAGGCTGCCCGGGTCACCGAGACGAGCTGCAGACTGGGAGCAGCTCGCGCTCGCTGCTCGAGCGGCAGGGCCGCTGCCAACGCCGAGGCGGAGACACTTCCCTTCACGGGAGAGGGGGAGGAGGAGGGGGAGGCGTGGGTCCCCTTCACGGGAGGGAGGAGGAGGAGGAGGGGGAGGAGGAGGAGGGGGAGGGAGGAGGGGTAGGAGGAGGAGGGGGAGGGAGGAGGGGGAGGAGGAGTAGGGGGAGGAGGAGGGGTGGAGGCGTGGCTTCGCCTTCACGGGAGGGAAGAGGAGGAGGGGGAGGGAGGGGTAGGAGGAGGGGGAGGAGAAGAAAGGGGGGTGAGGAGGAGGAGGGGGAGCAGGAGGGGGAGGAGGGGGAGAAAGGGGGGGAACCCGACCTGCCACTGCGCATCCGCTCGCCCGCCCGCCGACGCCTCGAGGTTGTGGCTTTCTTTGGCACAGTCCGTGCGACGTTGCCAAGAAATGCCCGGCGCGCACTCTAAGAATAAACGATTCAACCAAATTTATTTTTACTTGACCAGGGAAGGTCCCCCATTGAGATGCGATGTAGTTTTCTTTTTCCGAATGTGACCTGGCCGTCGCTAACGATAGCTCAACGAAATGAGCTTATCATCATCATCAGCAGCATCGCGTGGAAATGTATCGCAGCCGAATGCTCGGAAGGCGTGGCGTTGATTCTCCAACGTGGAGGGAAAAACCGGAGTGCCCGGAGAAAAATCCACGGAGAGAGACTTTTTGACTTTTACACAACTTTTATTGCCGCCAGCAGCAACAGCACTGGAGGAGATTCCGATACGAAACACACAAAGTCACCAGCAAACAAATGAAAACAAACGCTACAAATGCACGCGCTGTGGCGCTAAAAGCACCGCGCACAACACGAAATAAAGCCACGTGGTGGTGGTGGTGATCGCGCACGCCACGGTGACGAGCGAGCGCTTCAGAAGGTGAACACCACGAGGGTGCCGTCCACGCTGGTGCAGAGAGGGGCTTGTCCGGCTCCCCAGCGTTCGAAGAAGACGCGCACATCACCGACATGTGTGTGGTACGCGTGCTCCAGCCGGAGCCGCGCCTTAAGCAGGCCCCTGAACACTGGAAGCACAGCAGAGAGAGAGAGAGACATGCGAACTGCAACTATACAACAGGGGTCAGGGTTGGGATTGAACCCACGACCTCCTGTATACCTGGCGAGGTCGTTAACATCTCTCCACCGCTGTCCCCCCTCTCGCCCCCCCCCCCCCCCTGGTGGCGAGAGGGTCATAGACGGAACCGTGAATTGCTCACTCGCACTGCCACATTGAGTTGTGTGTTCACGTGTGGAGCGGTGGTGCAGCGGTTAACTCGCTTCGCTAACGATGCCGGCGACCCCAGCCAGGTTCGATTCCCGCCTCACGGCCACCACCGTAACACCGGTGGCGATTATGAGGACCGAACCTGGACCTCCTCTAGGTCGACTCAGCCTTAAATAAGTACCTGGTGCGATGTGTAAACATCGGTACTAGGGAGAGAAAGGCGGCCGGGCGTGGTGCTGGCCACCCACCCCCTCGTGTGCCGTGCCGGCCTTCATAGGTGCTTGCCAACAGCACTTGCCCCTACAGTCTGTTAAGGCTATATGGGTGATCTTTGTCTTTGTGCGATGGGCAGCGGTGGTGTGGCGCTGCACTACGAACCTGGCGACCCGGGTTCGACTCCCGCTCATGGCCAACACCGATGACGATTATCAGAACCGGTCGTGGACCTCCTCTAGGTCGACTCAGCCTCAAATGAGTACCTGGTGCGGTGTGTAAACATCGCAACTATGGGGACAAAGGCGGCCGGGCGTGGTGTTGGCCACCCACCCCCTATCGCCACGGTGGCTAGGAGAATAAGAAATGATTTTGCTGCTGTAAATTTCCACGCCATAAGCCACTTGGTTGAGCTATTATTTGGGCTTGAGCTGGTAAGATTTTCTTTTTTTTTAAGGTTAGTGTAAATGTATATATATATAAAAGCAATTTGCTTATATTCTTGGTTCTTTCAGTAAAGTCACGTAGAAGGGAAATAATAAAATAATAAAAATAAACCATTATATTTATTAATTTTATTATTTTACATGATAATTAAACTTTTTATTATTTTATTAGTTCCCTTCTACGTGACTTTACCGAAAGAACCAAGGATATGAATCCCTGCATGCACGAAAGCTTTAAATCGAAATTCAATTTGCTTATCTTTCCTCTACCTTGCACGTCTATAGACGTATTTTAGAATGTTTGTTGTCGTGACGTTATGACCCCCACATCTGTGAAATATAAATAAAAGAGCTTCACGACTCATCGGATTCCTCCTCCTCCTCCGGTATAAATAAACAGCCGGAGGTTCTGAAAGTGAAAATCCCACCACCTCTCAAATGAGATTCCGCACGTGTCAATATCAGCCCTCGACAGGGGATGGGGTGTTTAAATAGCGTGGCGTGGTAACACAAGCATGCCCCCCCCCCCCTTCCTCCTCCGTGTGTGAGCCCCCGCCCCCGGGTTTATATTTCGCTGGCGGAATGACTCCACTTAGCCCGGCACGCGAGAGAGAGGAATTCGAAATAGTCTGCATGGCTACTTAAATATAACCGCGCGGACAATCTTAACGATTTACACCCCAGCCACCGCCCCCACCGCCCCTATCCCACCACCACCACCCCTACCCCACCATCACCACCCCTACCCCACCACCACCACCACCCCTACCCCACCATCACCACCACCACCCCCACCACCACCACCCCACAACCACCACCCCCACCCCACCACCACCACCCCTACCGCACCACCACCACCACCCCACCACCACCCCCCCCACCGCCCCCACCGCCCCTACCCCACCATCACCCCCCCCCCCCACCTTTCCCCTCCGAGATGTAATCCATGCTAAGGAAGTCCGGTACAAGCAAAGAATGTTGACGGTCGTGGTGGTGGTGGTAGTGGTGGTGTGAGGAGTGGTGGTGCAGCGGTTAGCGCTGCTGCCCTGGGAACCAGTCCGAGGCCTCCCTGTAGGTTGACTCGGCCTCAAATGAGTACCTGGTGCGGTGTGTAAAAACATCGCCACTGGGGAGACAAAGGCGGCCGGGAGTGGTGCTGGCCACCCACCCCCCTCGCGTGTCGTGCCGGCCTTCATAGGCGTTGCTACTGACTAACAGCACTTGCCCCAACAGCCTGTTAAGGCTATATGGGCGATATTTGTCTTTGTGAGAATGCTCTCCAACTACAAACAAACAGCGCCCGTGGTGCTGCCAAAGCCGACATAAGTCGGCCACGTTTGTTGTTCGTCACGTGACGACAGCTTAATCATTCGTGGGCGCCACGGTGGCTGGGAGATGTTAACTACATCGCCAGGTATACGGGAGGTCGTGGGTTCAATCCCGACCCTGACGCCTGTTGTCCATTGGGAGTCTGCGTGTCTCTTTCTATCATCATCATCAATCACGGTGGCGAGGAGATGTTAACTACCTCGCCAGGTATACGGGAGGTCGTGGGTTCAATCCCGACCCTGACGCCTGCTGTCCATTGGGAGTCTGCGTGTGTCTCTGCCCGTGGTCGCGTGGAATTTTCTCTGGTTCCTCCGGGGTTTTCGCTCCACATTTAGAATCAACATCGCGCGTTCAGAGTATTTGGCTGCTAGAAATCTCCAAGTAATGATGATAGGCCCCCTCGTTGAGTTCTTTCTTTTTTTTTTTAAAGTGGCCTTCTTCCCTCTCTACTTTGGGTCGGTTGCCTCCTGCTTCTGGTTTTGTTTCCTGCTTTTGATGCATTGCGCATTGGGATCCTGGGATAGGATGCTCAATTATACTTTGCAATTGTGATGTATTCTTATCGTCGTTTGTGGTGGCCGGGTCGCTTCTGAAAAAGAAGATGCGTCGCAGCTCAAGTGGAACTTACGTGGTTAAAACAAAAATAATGTTAAAATCTTCTTGTTTCTTTCGGTAAAGTCATGTAGAAGGGAAATAATAAAATAATAAATATAAAACATTATAAAATAATTCTCACGACGCTTCGGCCACAACGCAAGCAGCCGATATGTTCTTCACCTGAGGACGGCTGCTTGCGTTGTGGCCGAAACGTCGTGAGAATTATTTTATTGTTTTATTTTTATTTTTTTATTATTTCCCTTCTACGTGACTTTACCGAAAGAACCAAGAAGATGAATCCCTGCAGTCACGAAAGCTTTAAATCGAAATATTAAAATCATTTTACGATTTTCGTTCTCGAGTTTAATTGGATCTCGTCGGTTTGTCCCGGCTCGGTGTGTGTGTGCAGGGACCACGTGTACCACGTGGACCTGGACAACGCGCACGGCGAGGAGATCCCCAGCGAGAAGGTGAGGTGGGGGTGGAGGGGTGCTGGTGGCGGTGGCTCTTCGAGGCACGGCGGCCGCCCTGGTCAATACTACGGCGGGCGGCTTTAGAGTAAAAATAAAAACAATAGAATTTTTTTTAATACATATATAGCTCAGTGGGCCTTACCTGGTAAATCACAACAGTTTCTAGTTTTAAATCAGTGGTTATTAACCCAGGGGTTGCTTGGAGATGCCCCTTTCTGGGGGTGCGAGACGTGGGCAGATTTTTTTCAGAAGGTAAATCATCGATACAAATTAAGCGTGGGGCACGCAAGTACAACTTACTTTGTGTCATCAAACCCCGTGTTTTAATATATTGTAAAAAAAAATACGGTTGACAACCAAAGGGGTGCAAGGCTGCAGTAAAGGTGAAGGACCACACTGGTTACCATGAGTTTAGTTTACAGGCTGAGTGCTAAACTAATGGGCATCATGAGAGAGGCATGTTGACATCGATGCTTACGATTTGTTCGCCAGACGCTGACCTGGAAGTCGAGAGCAACAGACAAGGACATCTGCACCATGAAAGGCAAACAGAAGGTGACGCGAGACATGAGCTGTGTCAAACCTACACCGCACCACACACAACACCAAAGACAAATATTACCCGTGTAGCCTTAACAGACTTAGGGGCAAGTGCTGTTAGCGAGCACCTATGAAGGCCGGCACGGCACACGAGGGGGTGGGTGGCCAGCACCACGCCCGGCCGCCTTTGTCCCCCCTGTGGCGATGTTTACACACCGCGCCAGGTACTATTTTTTGAGGTTCAGTCGACCTAGGGGAGGCCCAGGACCCTGCAACCTGAGTTCGATTCTGGTCCACGACCAACGTTGGCACTGGGCTTCCTCTAGGTTGACTCAGTGTGAAATCCATACCCCCCTACCCCGCCCCACCTCCACAGGACGAGTGCCACAACTTCATCAAGGTGCTTCTCCCGCGCAACGACGGCACCATCTTCGTGTGTGGCACCAACGCCTTCAACCCCATGTGCCGCGTCTATCGGGTGAGTCGGTGGCTCTCTGTGTGTGTGTGAGTCGGTGGCACCAACGCCTTCAACCCCATGTGCCGCGTCTATCGGGTGAGTCGGTGGCTCTCTGTGTGTGTGAATGTGTGGCTCTCTGTGTGTGTGAGTCTGTGGCACCAACGCCTTCAACCCCATGTGCCGCGTCTATCGGGTGAGTCGGTGGCTCTCTGAGTGTGAGTCTGTGGCTCTCTGTGTGTGTGTGAGTCGGTGGCTCTCTGTGTGTGTGAGTCTGTGGCTCTCTTTGTGTGTGTGAGTCTGTGGCACCAACGCCTTCAACCCCATGTGCCGCGTCTATCGGGTGAGTCGGTGGCTCTCTGTGTGTGTGAATGTGTGGCTCTCTCTGTGTGTGTGAGTCTGTGGCACCAACGCCTTCAACCCCATGTGCCGCGTCTATCGGGTGAGTCGGTGGCTCTCTGTGTGTGTGTGAGTCTGTGGCACCAACGCCTTCAACCCCATGTGCCGCGTCTATCGGGTGAGTCGGTGGCTCTCTGTGTGTGTGAGTCTGTGGCACCAACGCCTTCAACCCCATGTGCCGCGTCTATCGGGTGAGTCGGTGGCTCTCTGTGTGTGTGAGTCTGTGGCACCAACGCCTTCAACCCCATGTGCCGCGTCTATCGGGTGAGTCTGTGGCTCTCTCTGTGTGTGTGAGTCTGTAGCTTTGTGTGTGAGTCTGTGGCTTTCTGTGTGAGTCTGTGGCTCTGTGTGTGTGTGAGTCTGTGGCACCAACGCCTTCAACCCCATGTGCCGCGTCTATCGGGTGAGTCGGTGGCTCTCTGTGTGAGTCTGTGGCTCTCTCTGTGTGTGTGAGTCTGTGGCACCAACGCCTTCAACCCCATGTGCCGCGTCTATCGGGTGAGTCGGTGGCTCTCTGTGTGTGTGTGAGTCTGTGGCACCAACGCCTTCAACCCCATGTGCCGCGTCTATCGGGTGAGTCGGTGGCTCTCTGTGTGAGTGTGTGGCTCTCTGTGTGTGTGAGTCTGTGGCTCTGTGTGTGTGTGAGTCTGTGGCTCTCTCTCTCTGTGAGTCTGTGGCTCTCTGTGTGAGTCTGTGGCTCTCTATGTGAGTCTGTGGCTCTCTGTGTGTGAGTCTGTGGCTCTGTGTGTGTGTGAGTCTGTGGCTCTCTCTCTCTGTGAGTCTGTGGCTCTCTGTGTGAGTCTGTGGCTCTCTATGTGAGTCTGTGGCTCTCTGTGTGCGAGTCTGTGGCTCTCTGTGTGCGAGTCTGTGGCTCTCTGTGTGAGTCTGTGGCTCTCTGTGTAAGTCTGTGGCTCTCTCTATGTGAGTCTGTGGCTCTCTGTGAGTCTGTGGCTCTCTGTGTGAGTCTGTGGCTCTCTGTGTGAGTCTGTGGCTCTCTGTGTGAGTCTACGGGTCTGTATGTAAGTGTATGGTCCATGTAATTATACGGCTCATGTAAGTAGATCTAATTATATGGCCCATGTAAGTATATGGCTCATGTAAGTAGATCTAATTATGTGGCACGTGTAGGTCTATGTAAGTCCTGGGCTAATGTAAGCGCACGCAAGTCTGCGGGCACGTACGCGCGTACCTACGTAAGTGTGTGTGTGTGTGTGCGCGTGTGGCTCAATGTAAATCACGCCCAGGCCGTCGGGACGTGCGTTGGCCCAGCGCCCCGTTCCGTGGAGGGTTAATCGGAGCCACCCCGAGCTCGCAGCTCCTCGAGATGCGTTCCGCTGCCCCCCCCCCTGCCCCCCCCCCCCGGTCGTTAACCCGTCGACTTGCGGAAGTGGCAAATGTGACACCGCACAGGGCGGTGATTGACAGGCGCCGAGTGCGCTGGCGCTGGCGCTCGCCGAAGAGGCTCACACACGCGCAGACGCACAGACGGGCGCTCACACACGCTCACGAAGATCCCCCGTGTAGCCTTAACAGACTGTAGGGGCAAGTGCTGTTAGCGAGCACCTATGAAGGCCGGCACGGCACGCTAGGGGGTAGGTGGCCAACACCACGCCCGATGTTTGCACATCGCACCAGATATTCATTTGAGGCTGAGTCGACCTAGTGGAGGCTCATGACCGGGTTTAGATAATCGTCACTGGTGTTTGCCGTGAGCGGGAATCGAACCCGGGTCGCCAGGTTCGTAGTGCAGCGCGCTAACCGCTGTACCACCGCTCCCCACATACACTCACACGCGCTCACACACACGCACACACGCACATGTATGCGCTCGCTCACACGTGGGCTCACACACGCGGGCACGGACACGCTCGCTCGCTCACACACGCACGCACACACGCACGCGCACAGAATCCGAATATTTAGTTCTACCGGAGGAATCTGATGAGCTATGAAGCTCTTTCCATAGCTCATAGCAGATGTCCGGTAAGAGGCACGGGGTCAGAACATTCCAACAACAACAACAACAAACAATACAAACACGACGGGAGTATAGGAAAGGTAAACAAACCACTTAAAGAAAATGCCGAAAAAACTGAGATACATTTAGATTTGAAATTTTCGTGACAGCAGGGATTCATACACTTTGGTTCTTTCGGTAAAGTCAAGTAGGTAGAAAATAAAATAAAATAAATTAAATCACGACGTTTCGATTGCAACACAAGCAATCATCATCAGGTGGGAAACCCATGACACACACAGACACACGCACAGACACACACAGATACACGCACACACACACACAGACACACACAGACACACACACACACAAAGATCAAACAAAGATCCCCCGTATAGCCTTAACAGACTGTAAGGGCAAGTGCTGTTAGCGAGCGCCTATGAAGGCCGGAACGGTACACGAGGGGGTGGGTGGCCAGCACCACGCCCGACCGCCTTTGTCTCCCCAGTGGCGATGTTTACACACCGCAACAGGTACTCATTTCAGGCTGAGTCGACCTAGGGGAGGCCCAGGACCGGTTCAGATAATCGTCACTGGTGTTAGCCGTGAGCGGGAATCGAACCCGGGTCGCCAGGTTCATAGCGCAGCGCGCTAACCGCTACACTACCGCTCCCCACTACACACACAGACACACACAGACACACACACACACACAGGCGCCGCCACCACCGCTGTCTTGCGATCCACCTCCCCTCTCCGTCTTGCGGGAAGTATTTTTACCGAGTGTCGCTCGCGTTTCACTCTCTCCTCTCTCTCCGCTCGCGTGCGAAGTGCCACGCGCACGCACGCGCCCCCTTGCCCCGCGGGCAGCTCCCCCCAGACACCCTAGCGTCGAGCGCCACCTCCTCCACCTCCTCCACCTCCTCCTCCTGAGAGGCACCCCGGAGCGACGCGAGGCCTCGGACCGGGCGTCATTAGAGTTGTTAGAAACGTTCGGCACGTCACTCGCGCTCTCGATGGCGCGAGGCCGTCGTGACGGAAGGTGCCGTCAGGGTCGCGGCGGTGGTGGTGGCGGTGGCGGTGGCGGCGGTGGTGGTGGTGGCGGTGGCGGTGGTGGTGGTGGTGGCGGTGGTGGTGGCGGTGGTGGCGGTGGTGGTGGCGGTGTTGGTGGCGGTGGTGGTGGTGGTGGCGGCGGTGGTGACAGTGGTGGTGGCGGTGGCGGTGGCGGCGGTGGTGGTGGTGGCGGTGGCGGTGGTGGTGGTGGTGGCGGTGGTGGTGGCGGTGGTGGCGGTGGTGGTGGCGGTGTTGGTGGCGGTGGTGGTGGTGGTGGCGGCGGTGGTGACAGTGGTGGTGGTGGTGGCGGTGGCGGTGGTGGTGGTGGTGGTGGCGGTGGCGGTGGTGGTGGTGGCGGCGGTGGCGGTGGTGACGGTGGTGGTGGCGGTGACGGTGGTGGCGGTGACGGCGGCCTGCAGTGGGATCTCACCCAGGGGATCGGACTCTCGGCTGAGCTGTGTCAGTGTCTCTGACGTGGCTGTTGTGAACGCACTTAGAAAACAAAATAACACCACCCAGACCCAGGGCTCAAACGCGGTGTGGTGCGGTGCGTGTCGCCGTGGTAACGCGGTGCTTTGTCACCGTGGTAACGTGTTGCTTTGTCGCCATGGTAGCGTGTTACTTTGTCGCCGTGGTAACGCGGTGCTTTGTCGCCGTGGTAACGCGGTCCATGTCGCCGTGGTATCGCGTTGCTTTGTCACCATGGTAACGCGTTGCTTTGTCGCCGTGGTAACGCGTTGCTTTGTCGCCATGGTAACGCGTTGCTTTGTCGCCGTGGTAACGCGTTGCTTTGTCGCCGTGGTAACGCGTTGCTTTGTCGCCGTGGTAACGCGTTGCTTTGTCGCCGTGGTAACGCGTTGCTTTGTCGTCGTGGTAACGCGTTGCTTTGTCGCCGTGGTAACGCGTTGCTTTGTCACCGTGGTAACGCGTTGCGACGTCTCCCCCAGTTGCACGGCGAGCGGCAGGACGCGGCGGACGTAGCGGGCGTGGCGCGCATGGAGGGCGACGAGATCAACGGCATGGCCAAGTGCCCCTACGACTCCAAGCACAGCAACGTGGCGCTCTTCTCCGGTGAGCCTCCTCCTCCTCCTCACCCTCCCCCTTCCCCCCGACTGCTCAGTCTCTCGACCTCCACGTCGCCTCGTCACGACGAGCCACGTGGCGGCGTCGTCGTCGTCGTCATCGCGCTCTTCGCTCGCCCCCCACCCCCACACTATGGTCCATACGGGACGGACTCACTCCTCGTGATCATTGTCACTCTCGTCATCGTCGTCATCATCAACGTCATCGTCGTCGTCATCGACGTCATTGTCGTCATCGTCGTCATCATCATCGTCGTCATCATCGTCATCATCATCATCATCCTCGTCATCATCATCCTCCTCGTCATCAGCGTCGTCATCGTTGTTGTCATCATTGTCATCATCATCGTCATCATTATCATCGTCGTCATCATCCTCGTCGTCATCATCATCGTCATCATCCTCGTTGTCATCATCGTCGTCATCATCATCGTCATCATCATCATCGTCGTCATCATCCTCGTCATCATCCTCGTCATCATCATCATCGTCGTCATCATCATCCTCGTCATCAGAGCCACATGGCTCTCTGCTCCAGCGAGGCCTCATCCACTGCCCACTCCCAGCCACAGAGGAGACCTTCCTTTTCCTCCACGCTTTCACGCCAACTCACGCTCCCAGCTGTGTGGTCACAGCGTGCGGTGCGTGTCGCCGCGGTAACGCGGTGCGTGTCGCCACGGTAACGCGTTACCGCACCACAACGCGTTACCGCACGCTGGCTCGCCACGCGTCAACGCTCGTCCACGCTGACAGCTGTGCCCCCCCCCCCACTCCGTGTGCCCCCCTCTCCCCGCCCCCCCCAAACCAACCCTCCCCACCCCCCACAGGAGGCAAGCTCTACTCCGCCACGGTGACGGATTTCCTCGCGAGCGACGCCGTCATTTACCGGAGCTTGGGGAGCAGCCCCGCTCTGCGCACCATCAAGTACGACTCCAAATGGCTCAAAGGTAACAACCATTGCCTCGTCGTCATCCCCCCTCCCCCGCTCCACCGCCCCCCCCCCCTCCTCTCCCATCGGGACCGTGGCAGCTTGGAACAGCGTCCGTCACGCAACGGGGATTCGGGGCGTCGCCCCCGCGGGCTTCTCCACCCCGCCGTCGCCAGAGAGCCGCCGTCGGCACGAGGTGCTTTGGCCTACTCTTCTACGCTGGCCAAAGCGCCTGGGTGGGGGGGGGGGGGTGGCGGTAACCCACGTTCCCCCCCCCGCCCCCATCGCACACGACCTGCCGATCGTACACTGGGCTGAGGACCCATTTATCCACCGCCCGGTGGCACGGAGGCAATGCTGTGATGTATGTACGGCTGCTTGGTTTGACCCCTCGCTTCCTGGCGAGGCCCCGTGCCCGTGGCGTCAGTCCGAGTCACCGAGTGTCACGATGAATCGGGGGGGGGGGGGTGTTCGTGTCCGAGCGGGGCGGCCCCCCCCCCCCCCCCCCCACCAAAGACCCCTTACCGTAGCACGCACCAATCCTTCACTGTATTCACGTAAACTCATTTGCGCAATCTACCCCAACGGGTAAGTAACAACAAACAAGGCCAACCTTAATCACGGACGACATTGGTCTGGAAAGCCGCCTCCGTGTTCAATCGATGCGTGTGGATGCTCACGTACCCGAGCCCATCGCGACATCACCGCCAATGCACCCCCCCCCCCCAAACCTCAGCGGATCTCGGAAAGCGGTACGGGGATGAGCTGTGAAAAGCACCTTGGGGGCCGTCCATAAATGACGTCACGCACCTAGGGGCGGAGGGGGTGTCAGACGTTTGTGACGATGTGTGACGAGAGGGGGGGGGGTTGTTTGAGAAACGTGACGTCACATTAAAATACGCAACTTTAAATGAATATAGACAACACGTTCTACTTAATTAAATAGACTTTTTAATAAAGTTTTCTCCTACAACATCAGAGTGCAGCGCCACATTAATACGCACTACAATGACAATAGTTTAAAGCGATTTGAAGCATATTTTTCTTTTTTTGGGGTGGGGGGGGGCAGAGCTTTGTGACTTCATATTTGCGGGGGGGCTCTGACTTTTTGTGACGCCGTGTCACCCATCATATCCGCGCCTCGACCGGGGGCCGTGCCGGTCCAGCGGCGGGTTGAAGGCGGCGGGGGAGCGTAGAAGTGCAGTACAACAGCGAATGTTGCTGAACTCCAGCGGTGAACGTGGGGAGTGAGTGACGGTTGGGATGGGGGGGGGAGTCAAAAGTGGAGGGGGGGGGGGTGAGCAGGAGGGGGGGGGGAGTAAAGGTGGGGGGTAGGGGAAAGTAACGAGGTGAGTAGCGAGGGAGTAACGAGGCAGTCCTTGCCGGCTCGTGTGCGCGCGAGGAACTGCGAACAGGCAACCAGCGCCACCACCACTGCCCCCCCCCCCATCGCTCCATTGTTGTCGTTGTTGCATTGTGTCCACCCATCTCGGGGGAGGGTTGAGACCCCCCCCCCCCTACTACCCCCCCCCCCACCACTGCCCCCCCTACCCCCCACTGCCCCCCTCCCACCTCCACCCCCGCCACGATTGTTCAATATTCTGCACCAACGCCTTCTTGACTTTGATTGTAAGGAATTATACAGCTGGAGGGGGGGTGGTGGCACAAACAAAGACAAAGTTCCCCCGTGTAGCCTCAGTAAACTTTTGGGGGCAAGTGCTGTTTCGTCGCGAGAAGCACCGATGAAGACCGTCACGGGAGGAGGGCACAACCGCCGATGGTACGGGGTTGGTGTGCGTGTGTCTGTGTGTGTGTCTGTGTGTGTCTGTGTGTGTCTGTGTGTGTGTCTGTCTCTCTGTCTGTGTGTGCGTGTCTGTCTGTGTGTGTGTGTGTCTGTCTGTCTGTGTGTGTGTGTGTCTGTCTGTGTGTATGTGTCTGTCTGTGTGTGTGTGCTGTGGGGAGCGGTAGTGTAGTGGTTAGTGTGCTGCGCTACGAACCCGGCGACCCAAGTGAGATTCACGCTCATGGCGAACCACCAGTCTGAACCGGTCCTGGGCCTCCCCTAGGTCGACTCAGCCTTAATTTTAATTCTGTGCGTGATTAGCATCGGCAGCGGTGGATGGTCCTAAGTCGTGTACTTAGAGCGTATGTATGTACTGTGTGTTGAACTTCTTTCGCACCGTACGTAGCCAACAGTGCTAATCGGAGGTTGCGGGGGAATAACACCAAACTAAACACACGCAACAAAAACTTCGAAATGTAAACGCGCAGAACTCCCAGTAGCTTCCTACTATCGGAGCGGAAGAGCGTTCCAGACGGCCGCGTGGCAGCGCACCTGAAAGCGCGCGGTTACAAAGTGACCCCCCCCCCGCTTTGTTCGACGCCCACTGGGGAGACAAAGGCGGCCGGGCGTGCTGCTCACCACCCAAACCGCCGAGTGCGCTGTCCCACAGCCTCCTTCACAGGTGCTGCTCGCTGACAGCAACTTGCTTCTAGATTTGAAGCTGTCGTGACTGCAAGGATCCATACTCTTAGTTCTTTCGGTAAAGTCACGTAGATAAAAAAATGAAATTAAAATTAATAAAAATAAAATAACAAAATCACGACGTTTCGGAGGCAACACAAGTCTCCGTCATCAGGTGGAACCGTCACAGCCAGATTTGCTGCATCAAGTGAGGCTCACAGCAAAATCTGGCTGTGACGGTCCCACCTGATGACGGAGACTTGTGTTGCCTCCGAAACGTCCTGATTTTGTTATTTTATTTTTATTAATTTCATTTTTTACCTACGTGACTTTACCGAAAGAACTAAGAGTAGCAACTTGCTTCCAAACAGCGCCTGTGTGACCGGCTACTCGGGGGGGGGGGGGGGGGGTGCAGTGCATATTTGTCTCTTGTGTTGTAGTTGTTCGCGTTTGAGCGTGGCGTGTGTGTGTGTGTGTGCGAGCGATGGGTGTGTGTGTGTGTGCGAGCGGCGGGTGTGTGTGTGTGTGTGAGCGATGGGTGTGTGCGAGCGATTGGTGTGTGTGTGTGTGCGAGCGATTGGTGTGTGTGTGTGTGTGCCAGCGATGGGTGTGTGTGTGTGTGCGAGCGATGGGTGTGTGTGTGTGTGCCAGCGATGGGTGTGTGTGTGTGCGAGCGATGGGTGTGTGTGTGTGCGAGCGATGGGTGTGGTTGACCTATTTATTTTCTCGGAAAGCAGGGGGGGTGCGTGGGACTTGCTACTTTAAAGTACATTGTATTATTAATGGGTGCGCGCGGTCGTGCGTGCATTGCGCGCTTTCTGCGTGCTTTCTTATCGAGGGCGTGCAGGCGGGTCGCCAGGGCTTTTTTCGTTTGTTGTACGTCGTTGAAATAACTGGGTCACGTTTTTTTGTGTTTCAATTGCCCTGGATTCCTCGCCGGTGGCGAGCGAGGTGCACGTGCCACGTCCCGCGCGCACACCTTGCGAAAGCCGCTATGCACGTCCACGCGTCAATTACATGAGCACACCCGCTCACACTCGCGTAGGATCCACGGAGTCTATGGACATTCATTAGAAACAGTTCTACAATGGGAAATACAAAATCGGAGTGACCTGGAGAAAAATCCACGCGACCACAGGGAGACAGACACGCAAACTACAAATGTACAGCAGGCGTCAGAGTCAGGATCGAACCCACGACCTCCTGTATACCAGGCGAGGTAGTTAACATCTCCTAGCCACCGTGATGATGATGATGATGATGAGACACGCAAACTCCAAATATACAGCAGCAGGCGTCAGGGTCACGGTCAGGGTCGAGCCCACGACCTCCTGCGTACCACGCGAGGTCCCGACTTCACCGTGCTCGCCGGCGCACGGGTCGGAATCCAATGGCGGTCATGAAGATGACGGCATCGCTCAGTGAGTTGAGCGGGGAGGGAGAGGAGGAGGGGAAGGAGGGAGGAGGGGAAGGAGGGAGAGGAGAGAGGGAGGAGAGGAGGGAGGGAGGAGGGGAAGGAGGGAGAGGAGGGAGGGAGGAAGGGAGGAGGGGAGGGATGGAGGGAGGGGAGGGAGGGGAGGGAGGGGAGGGATGGAGGGAGGTGAAGGAAGGAGGGAGGTGAAGGAAGGAGGGAGGGGAGAGAGGGAGGAAGGGAGGGGAGGGGAGGGGGAGGGAGGGGAGGGATGGGAGTGAGGGGAGGGATGTAGGGAGGGGAGGGAGGGAGGGAGGGGAGGGGAGAGAGGGGAGGGAGGGGAGGGTGGGAGGTTGACGCTCATCACGGCTGACAAGGGTAACAACAAAAGGAAATGTAAATGAGATTGTAATTGGCTCGTTAACGGTTCGGCGGGCGCTGGCGTTCCGCTGCGTCACTCCAGACCCCCCCCTGCCCACCCCACCCCCCGCTGTGCCCCCCCCCCTCCACGCCAGACTCGCAGGTGATGATTGTTTGGCTGCTGCAAGCACGGCGCGGTCAGACTCCCTGCCAAGGCGGGGCGCGGGTTGCCGTGTTGTTGGCAGGCGTGCGTACGCGTAAATAACCTCCGGTGTGGGTTTTAAAATATATATATAAATATATATAAATACTGTCTATATGTAAAAATTAACGTGTAAGAAATATTTATATATTAATGTAACATTAATATATTAACATATTCATTTATTTATTTATAATGGTTGTCAATGTTGAGATGAATGTTTATCCGAAATGGGGTTTTTTATATAATTTTTGTTCTAAAATTCGTAGTTTTTTTATTTTTGGCACAATTTCAGATCCCCGTTATTTTTCGTCTTTGACGTCGCGTTGTGACGTCATCGCTCCGGATGGAGCTCGTGACATTTGCGATGACGTCACACCTTCGGATCAGTCCGAAATTAAGTGACGAGGACGAGAAAAAGAAACGCGTGTCCACGTGGGATCATCTGAAGGAAAACTAGAAAATACAAATGTGCGTGTATCCGGGCTCCGTTCGTGAAAATGCTGACTCTGTTGCATCCTCGCTCATCCGACGAGTCAAGAGCCGCATCTCACAGAGTTATACTTAATAAATAAAACTGAA